AGAAGGGTATCCAGATGAAGATTTGGTGGTGAAGCTACCGGGTCAACCAAAGGTTGGTTTCCGACAGTTCTCTGGTTATGTCAATGTCGACTTGAAAACTGGCAAGAGTCTCTTTTACTACTACGTCGAAGCTGTTGAACAACCTGACACCAAACCATTAACCCTTTGGCTCAATGGAGGTATTATGTCTTTTGTTGTTGCTCTAAACTTTCTGCATTTCATATGTTTTAAACTAATTCAATAATGAGGTTTGTATTGCAGGTCCAGGTTGTTCTTCAATTGGTGGAGGAGCTTTCACTGAGTTGGGTCCATTTTACCCAACAGGCGATGGTCGTGGCCTCCGGATTAACCCAATGTCGTGGAACAAAGGTTTTTTTTTTCCTTTTATAATTTTATGCAAAGAGCAGAGAATTGTGATTTTCTAACATTTGATGTTCTTGTCTTTTGTTGTAAAATGTGTAGCTTCAAACCTGCTATTTGTGGAGTCACCGGCCGGAGTAGGATGGTCTTACTCGAACACAAGCTCTGATTACAACACCGGGGACAAAGCTACTGGTAAAATCTAAAACCCCCTTTTTAAACTATATTAGAAGAGTCGACTGTTGTTTGCTTGATATGTTTTGCATTTGAACAGCTAGTGATATGCTTGTGTTCTTGCTGAGATGGTTCGACAAGTTTCCAGAGTTGAAGTCTCGCAACCTCTTTCTCACTGGCGAAAGCTACGCAGGTGTGTGTCTTCGATTATTCTGATTCAGTTTAAAGAATGGCTACGAGAATCCCAGTTTTGCTGTTCTTATTATTCTGAAGATGCAATTAGTTTTGGGGATGAAGCTCGCATTAGTAAATTGAGTGGACCTTGATGGTTTGGTGTTTAATCGTGTTGAAATTTAATTTCATTGGATGTTACGTGTCAGTGTCTTTTGGAAATGCAATTTGAATAAAAGAATTCAGTTTTTCCTTTTGTCTAACCAGGATTTGGTTTCTTTTGCTTCTGAATTCTAAGCTAACCAAATTCCATTAGCATTATTTACTGATTTATGGATTATAAATTTTCTGTAGTTTCCACTTCTCTTTTTATTGGAATGTTAGTCTTAAAAACTTCATTATTCTCTCTTGCAGGACATTACATACCTCAATTGGCTGATGTGATACTCACCTACAATTCAGGCTCAAGTGGTTTCAAATTCAACGTCAAAGGCATTGCAGTAAGCAAAAGAACCTTCTTCTTGACTATCCATCAACTCTTTTGTTTCTCGTCTGATTCCTTTGTTTGTTTTTCTCTTTCTGATCAGATTGGGAATCCACTTCTGAATCTTGACACGGACTCTATAGCTTCATTCGACTTCTACTGGTCGCATGGGATGATCTCTGATGAACTGAGACACACAATCATGAGCCAATGTGACTTTGCCAATCCCCTTAACGTAAGCAACGCCTGCACTGCAGCTATGAATGAAGCCAACGTGGTCACTGATCATGTCAACAGCTACGATGTTCTGCTCGACGTATGCTACCCGTCTATTGTCGAGCAAGAGCTGAGGCTCAAGAAAATGGTTACCCTTCCTTTTCCACCTTTTGTTCCACCAACAAGACTTTTCTGTAAAATTTTTGAAAATGGTTTCAGGCTACTAAGATGAGCATGGGAGTGGATGTTTGTATGACCTACGAAAGACGGTTCTATCTCAATCTCCCTGAGGTGCAGCACGCACTTCACGCAAACCGCACTCATCTACCTTATCCGTGGTCTATGTGCAGCGGGTAAATTATTTTACCCTTTTTTAGTTTTGATTGATCACAAAAATGAAGAAACTTTTTTTATCACACTAGAGTTGATGTATCTCTATACTGACTGCTATTATCTGTGTTCACTTTGCCTATGTCACAGCCAGTTAAACTACAGTAGCATCGACGGGAACATCGAAATGCTCCCGATTCTTAAGAGAATTATACAGAACAAAATTCCTGTTTGGGTCTTCAGGTAAGAATTCTGTTAAAAGATCCCTTTTTATCTCCTTCTTCTGTATTAGGCAGCTAAACACCCTAGCTTGTCGAAATTACAGTGGAGATCTAGATGCTGTAGTTCCACTTCTTGGTTCAAGAACTCTAGTACGAGAACTTGCTCGCAATCTCAACTTCAAGACTACAGTTCCCTATGGAGCTTGGTTCCACAAAGAACAGGTAAGTTCTCTACACCATTAAACAGTTCTAAAATCTACTAATTTCTCAAACTGATTGCAAACTTTTTGGTTGTGACTAGGTTGGTGGTTGGGTCACCGAGTACGGAAAGCTACTGACGTTTGCAACAGTGAGAGGAGCGGCTCATATGGTGCCGTATGCGCAGCCCTCACGGGCTCTGCATTTGTTTAGTAGCTTTGTGCGTGGCCAAAGATTGCCCAACAAAGCACATTCCTCTGTTGATGACTGATAGAGAAGAGATCTAGACGTTTCTGTTATTATTTATTACTATGTGATTACACAAAGTCACAAAGTAAGTTGTTCTGAAATTTGGTCTATACCTAAATGAATAAAAATTGCTTGATAGATGAGACTTTTTTTTAACATCTTTGGACGTATTTTCATACGATTATTAGTTGCAATGTCGTAAGATATAAAAAGATATACGATTATTTATAACATGATGCTTATGAATCCCACATTTATCTATTGATGACTGAATGATTCAAAATCTTTTAAGTGCTAATCACCATATAATCATTTCATTGTCTATATACGTTAATGTAATCCCGCAAATCGTGTACCATGACATTGATTCACATTTATAAAACATAGTAGTGAATTGATTTGATAGATACACAACCACATATCCATTTCTGAAACCTAATCAATTGATAAAATTAAATTTTTAAAAATGAAAGAAATAAACATATTAGCCTATTGAGAACCGGGAAAACAAAATTAGAGAAAAATGTTCTGGTATGTAATAGATTGTATTTTAACTTAACTAAACTAATACCAAACAATAAATATATACTCATGTGGTTGCCAATTTTTTTTTAAATTTGTATGCCAAATATGGCCATTTATTTCTCTAAACAGTTTTTTTGGTAGGACATCTATGATATTTGTCTATTGTTTTTTTTACAAGAACAAAATGTGTTGATATAAATTGCTTAAGAAAAAAGAAAAAGAAAATAATTATCAAACAAAATTACAAAATAAATAAATGAGAAAAAGTTTCAAAAACAAAAATGAGAAAAAGAAAATGCACCCATCTCCGATTCTTCGCCACGTCAGAACCACCGTAACGACGGCACCGATTTTTCTGGCCCCTCCCTTAAAGTCTCAGTCAATATAT